ACTTTACATTCTCATACAGTGCTCACCATAATTGTTGAATGAATCCCAGGCAATGCCTGTCTTAATAACATTACTCATTACATTAAATAACCCTGAATCTCTTGCTGTGAGGTCTTACTCTTGGTTTCTACTTTACATTCTTATACAGTGTCTTAAGGATATGGAAACCCCAGTAGTAAAGTGCTGACCTTTAAAACTTCTTTCTCTCTCTGCCATCAAAGGAGTCTAGATGTATTGGAATATTGACTGTACAAGTATAATATCTACGTTATATGTTTTTCCCTCTCTCTCGTATTCTCTCTCGTATTCTGTCTCCGCGCTTCCGATGGCAGATCCAGATGAGTGAATCCAGGAATTATGAGGAAATCAATACTGTGGCAAATATTGGAATCATAGTATTGAATGAGGCTAGGGAAAATATAGCACACATAATCTGAGAAAGCATTATATAGCAGGAATGTCGATACGGCAATATTGACCTAATACAAAGCAGAATGGATCAATGTTTTATATTGTTATTATGTAGATTTAGCACACGTAGTAATGAGATTTGTTTATACCTGTAATGACTCAATAATTCACAAATGTTCTCAAATGTATTAACTAAAGAAACCCAGGATTTCTGCAATAGAGAAATTACATTTGAAAGTTAGAATAATAAGTGTCTAAAACTTTAGCTGTTAGAAATTTGTCAACCTTACTGCATGTATTTGTGAAATGATCTTTGAATGCTTTGAATTTAGCCTCTCCATCATTGTTTTAGAAAACATTTACTTCAAGATCAAGATCAAGCAGTCAACATGCACTAAAGTCTGGTTAGACAGTTTGCCTGGCATTATGTAGTCTGCATGTTCGCCTGACTTTATATTAAAATATAGACAACATGATAGCCTTGCATGAGTCTTTAATTATTATAGCTACTATCTCTGACAAGTAAGAAGAAGCACAAATTGAATCAAGTAAAAGGGAAACCTTAAAAAGACATTGGCAGAAAGCCTGAATTCACTGTTAGGAAATTATTGTTCTTCCCTCTTTGGACTGATGGGGGTAATCTTGCAAGTACATCATTTCAGTCTGATTATGTGTAATGCTGTCTAATGGGTAATTGTTTGAACTTTTATCTTGAACTCCATGAAATTGACATTGGACAGTTCACAATCAGTAAGGTTAGAGTTAATTGGAGAAGAAAATACATGGTGGCACCTTATCTGTCTAGCTGTTAAAGACAGTTGTTAAGTACTGTTTGTAGCAGACACCAATTCTTATTTATTGCAATTGTCTGCAGTACACTATCTTCAGCTCTTGCTGAGACTCACAAGTCCCAGACAGATTATAGATTTGTGTATGTAGGTAATTAAATCAGTAAGTTTCCTGCAGTGATTGGATTGAAAAAATTGCCAGAATCAAGTTATGCAAATTTAGACTTCAAGAAAGTAAGACTTGCCTTTAGAAAGAGATAGCACCGCAAATTACAAAGTTAAAGTAAACTGAGATTTCTATGTGACTAGCAAACAATTGTTTTGTCAGACAGCTCCTGCATGGAAATAAGTGGTATTCACCAATATTGAACTTGGGCTTGCACTGAGTAAAGGTGAACACTGTATAATTTCTTAGCTGATTTTATTTCATTTTGATTGAGGTGTTTAAATTGTTGAGATAAACTCTCAACAAAAATGGAAAGCATCCTAACACCTTGTTAGTTCTTTATTAACCAATTTCTTATTGCCATGGAGCATTATTATATTTTTCCATATGGACTTTCAATCTATGTTCATTATTGAATGGTATCTAATTTATTTTAATCATAAAAATTCAGTCTCTCCATGTCTTTCCATAATACCCTTGATGTTAACATTTCCAGTTAAGTACAGTAAAAGCAAAATCTTGAAAGAACATCCAAAACAGCAAAAATGCAAATGTTGTAGGCTCGGTTTGATTGAGCCTGTTCATGAAAGGTTGTGGTAATTTCAAAATGTAGCTACATTGTAGCTGTTAACGCGAGCTGATTTGGAGTGAACAAGAGCAGACATCCATTGACTCCATGCTATATTAGGTGAAAAATAATCAAACTCAGCTTGGCGCTTATGCATAATTATGCAGTAATACATGCTACAAACATTTACTGATCAATTGAAAACTACTATTAGTCATTTCACCATAGTGTATAGTGCATGGCTTTGAATTGATCAATGACAATTAAACCCTGCATGAAGGAATTCACAACAGAACAGATATTATTACACTTCAAGGTTAAAAAAAATTGCACCCAAAACCATGCGCAGTGAAAGAAATACTTATGATGATGTAGGTAGTTTAAAAATAGATTTGCTGCTAAATTCTATCCTAGATGAAGACATATGAGCCGCGTCACGACAAAACCAACATAGTGCGTTTGCAACTAGCATGGATCCAGACAAGCCTGCGCATCCACGCAGTCTGATCAGGATCCATGCTGTTCGCTATCAGTTTCTCTACTTGTAATAGAGTTGGTAAGCGAACAGCATGGATCCTGATCAGACTGCGCGGAAGCACAGGCTGGTCTGGATCCATGCTGGTCGCAAACGCACTATGTTGGTTTTGTCGTGACGCGGCTCATATATTTTACAGCTGCACCTCCAGCTTTCTACTTAAATATTACAAGATTTAAAGGAAACTGGTTGATTCAACTGAATTTACCCATGTGACCAGTGCAGACCAAAATGTGCAATCCAATCATGGTCTGTACTGTTTGCTATTCAGTCAGTACTTACCATAAGTTGAAATTTTTCCATAAAAAATGGGTTTTGCCAGAATAAAATGATAAAGAAGTCCATTATAGTGTGGTTAAAGGGTTAAATATAGTCAGGTTTATCAGGTTCCTGAGAGTAATGTTTTTTCTTTTGTCCTGCTTTATTACAAGAATGGTAAGTTTGTCTTATGTCTAGACATATTTGCCAAAAAATGAGTAGTCATATGTCCATTTATAATTGTTGCTGAGCTATAAGTTTCCTGCTTCAAACATAAATCAATGCTCCCATGGTACATCCTGTCTTACTTATATTTCTCAGACACACAAAAAAGTATATAATTTTGCTGCTTATAGGGTCTCCCAACATGAAATATTACTCTCTGAGCATGTAAATTAAGGTGATGTACAAGTAAACGTGATGGAGCCTTCCAGCCAAGTATTAAAATATAATTAAAATATTTGGTTGCAAAGTTATAAAACTGACACATTGCAACATAAGAAAATATTCTTAAAACTTCAAGACTCAAGGATTGTCATTTGTAATGAGTGTTAGATAATTTTGTTAGTTAAGTAACTAAACGTCTGAAAATTCAATGATTATTGTATATATTGTGGAAGTAAATTTTCTTTTGAGAATGCTTATTGATTTAAAATGACATACTAGTATTGGTTCATCATAATTGGTAATGAAAGTCTGAACATTCCTCTAGAAATAGAATAAGTTATACAAGTTTGGCAATAAGCCTGGTAATAAATCTCACAGGCCAGTTATATGTAATATTAATAAAAAATGTTTTCATGTTTTCTATATTTTATTTTAATTCTCTGAAATTATTCATGAAGAGTTTACAGTCACTTATTTTTTTTTTTTTCTTTAAGTAAGATTCGTAATTTATCGTAAACATACTAATTCATGAGCAGTTCATGAGCGCTGTTTCATGATTTATACGCATAGTGAAATGAGTTGGTGAAGAGTTATATTATGAGGTGTTTGTTAATTTCCTGGAGAATTCATGATATCACAATCTTTTCTTTCACTCTGAACCTTGCACCTTGAACACTTGGACAATTATTCATAATAATCTCTGAGTTTATATGGATTGAAAGTATAGTTCAATCAGAGGGTGTAATCTTTATATAATGAATAACACATGTTTTTGTTTTACATCCAACAGTATTAAAAGTCAAGTTTGATCCAAATTATCATTTAAAAAATATTTCTGACAGATTAAAATTACGTTCTTATTATCTCAAAAGACTTTCTCCTCAATAAGCATTTTTTTTAAATGCACAGACAGTCATGTATGAACAATATTAAGTGATCACAATTTCTTAAAAGCTTTTTCACCTAAGTTGTGGACATTTTGTCATACTTGAATCAACATCAGATAACATATAAATTGCCTCAAATTTACCTTCATCTTTAATTGTTGGGTCAATGAGTAAAGTTGCAGTCATGGTCCATAAAAGACTAGAAAGTTTTCAATATATATTGAACATAGTTATTATGTATCAAAAGTATTTAAAACTGAAAAATACTTGCCAGTATATTATTGCTGTAGATTCTAGTTATTTATACTGACAAAGAATGGAAGTCTCATGGTCAGGACCAAATTTATTACTTCAGTGATAGCTGTAAGAGTGGTAGAGCTTCTACCTTGTATGTATGAGGCCATAAGTGTGATTCCCAGTCATGTCATATCAAATTCAGATATAAAAATTATACTTGAACCTCTCTTACTTGTAACTTAAAATTTAAGTCGATAGTTACTGTTCTGTTCAATCTCAGGTATGGTTTAGTTAAAACATATTTGTTCCAGTTTGTAAAACTTGTGCTTGTTATTTACTATAAACACTTTTGAGTATACTTCCTGGAAATGAACCAGTGAGAGTGTGAGTTGTGATACTTATAGGGCTTGAACCCACCAATCAATGGGTTGAGGTGGAGACACCATTTCCCTCAATCTGGTATCAGTATATGAATTGAATTGGTGGTATGTTACAACAATAAATCTTAAAAGTCTTTGTCATCAAGATGGAGGAATATGCTGTGAGTATCACAGCATACTGCCATGCAAATTAAATAATTATTTGGGACTTAGGACATTCAAGGTAATTCCTAGACATACCAATCAATTAAGCAGACTTTATAATTTTAGGGTAACAATTTATAATATATTCTAGTTGTCATGAGGTTCATTGTTGATGTAATATATTTATATGACAAAGTAAGATTTTCATTAGCTATACAAATTGCTACTGTTTATTACAGGGACACAGTGTGGGGTGTGCTGACTGGTCAAGGTAGTGATAATGTTTCAAGTCTCGTGGTTCATGAGATCCGAGAGATTGAGACTTGGATATTACGTCTGCTTAGTGCTCCAGTTCCTGTACCAGGGAAGACCAAAGTCGAGGTATGCTCCCTAATTTATAAAGTTTATAATAATGATGACAAGCCACAGATTTAATTGGCAAAACTTTGGTCATGTCTGTCCCCAAGTATTATGAAGTGATTTAGATCAGTTTGTTAATTATAATGTGTGTGTGTGTTGAATTTTTTCAATCTTCCTTACTGGAGGCTGATGGTCAATTTTGGAAAAAACATTTTTGCAATTTTGGATAAATGTCATGTTTTTACAGGACAATTCTGGCAGAAAATAAAATATGTCATGCCATTGTCATATGCAAATAATACATAGCTGAACATCATCTGATTCAGCTCTTAAGTAGTCGACTTTCGCTTTTGTCCTATGTTACTATATCAGTATACATATATATATCCGACAATTGACAAATATACTGGTAAAAGTAGCTCAAAACATGCATTGCACAACACAACATATATAACTATTTACCATATTTATAACTATATACTATTCATTATTTAAATACATATATATTTATATAGAACATGAAACAGTAGCATAATAATTGCAATATCATTGTATGGAGTGTTTTCCAAGGCTGTTAATATAATTATTTATACTAATGTAAATGTTAATATAATAGAGAGACATTTCTTTAGTATCATTTTACCACTGTTGCATTCATTTGTTATGCATATAATGGCTCAAATTCCATGACAGATAGAACTGCTGACTCAGCCTTGTTATATTGTTCTATACTCTTTCCAAGGAAAATAACACAATATATTTGTATGGACAATAGCTGACAGAATTATTTATCTCTGAGATATAGCAGACACATTAAGTGATCAATCTTGCTTCAAACAAAATTGCAGGCAATACTATATTATTTGATGTTCAAATATCTCTTTGTAATTGTATGGGAAAATAGTTCTGAAAACAGATGGCTTGCATTAAAGGTGATCTGATATTCAATTTATCTGCTGATATAAATCTATATTATAAATGCTATATATAGAAAGTCAAGAGATATAATGTAAATGTTAATTCAAGTTTAATTCTTATATAATACATATATGGTCAACATTTTTATATTTGTTGGTCATTGTCTATATAACATGTTGGTTTATACAGAATTTATGTTTAGTTTGATTGTGTAGGAACCTATAAGCTTATAGCAACACTCTTGAATCTGTTCCTGGGACCAACCAGTAGTAAACAGTGAGTGTAAAGTTTCTTGCTCAAGGAAACCATTGCTCACCTGTGATGGGGGTTTAAAGTACTAGACAACCTTCCTCCGTGCTAAACTACCAAAGCATCTCCCGGGGATCGAACCCACGCCAGTTACTTCTCTGTCGTGGGTTTGATCCGGGGAGATCTTTGGTAGTTTAGCACGGAGGAAGGTAGTCTAGTACTGGTGTAACTCTCCGGGAATGATGGTTAGGAAACTACCTGCCTAAATGACTGAATTACTGTTGGGAAAAGGCGTAAAATGAAACAAACAAAGCAGGGGACCAGTGATCCTTAGATTACTTGTCTGAAGCATTAACCACTCGGCCGTTCCATCACTTATATAACCCGTTGCTTGCATATTGTCACTTCTCTGCCAGCAGATCTAGTCCAGCTAACAGTACTTTTTGCAGTCTTGCAAGGTTTTTTACAGCTTTAAAAAACTGAATATTTATTTTGTATAATTATATAAGGTACACAAGTCAAAAATCTTACTCGATCTGAGGACAGTTTTAAATTCAAAGCAGAACTGATCTTTTACTGATAAGGATTTTAATTTAGTTGCTCAGCCGCGTATTATATATATGAGCCGCGCCATGACAAAACCAACATAATGGGTTTGCGACCAGCATGGATACAGACCAGCCTGCGCTTCCGCACAGTTTGATCAGGATCCATGCTGTTCGCTATCAGTTTCTCTATTTGTTATACGATTTGTAAGCGGATGCGCAGGCTGGTCTGGATCCATGCTGGTCGCAAACCCATTATGTTGGTTTTGTCATGGCGCGGCTCATATATTCTTGGTTTTAACTTCTAGTATGATGGAATGTTTGTGTTTTAGAATAGTCTCAATAACAGAGGTATCAAATTTTAACACGTATAATGGAAAGTATCAAGTTTTAACCTGTATATATTGCCACTCAGGGATCAATTAATTAGTGTGTTAATTGGTTTATCAGTTATTGAATATTCAAGGTATGTTTACCTACTGATTTCAAACTACAGATCTTTTCTGATTAAGTTAATTAGTGTTTATTCAAATATATTGTTTTTCATATCATAATGTGATATAGATTTTGTTATAAGTTGACAAGGTTTTATCTATTATTTACATTGTAATTTCAGATTCAAGTGTTACCAAGGGATGTACAGCCTCCATTGTTGTTTGCTTTACCAGACCACACAAGATTTTCCTTGATAGATTTCCCCTTACACCTGCCATTAGAGCTTCTTGGAGTAGAAACTTGTCTCAAAGTTCTTACTGCTATAATGTTGGAGTTCAAAGTAAGTTTTTGATGAAAAATTACAATCATCACTTTTTTTTTTCGAGTGGGTAAAATACCTGTTGGGTCAGAGGATGAAGGGGTCACTAAGTTAGGCACTATTGTAATTTTAAATAATTGCCACACAATGACATTTCAGCTGCACCGATTGAGGAAGATCTGAAGGTTAACTAATGAATTCATGGCTTGGTTACTTTTTGTTTGTTTACAATATCCATTCTTTATTTTTATGTGACAGCTTGAGGGTTTATTGCATCATTGTCATACCTCTCTATATAATAAATTGTTAAGCCACAAACACAATTTTGTAAAAACATCCCACAACTGTGACTACTGTCAAATTGTTATTTTGAAGGTAGTTTACTATGCTTTTGGACGTTACTTTCAGAAAACAACATAAAGTTAGTCTTACATATGAAATGATTTATTTGTTCTTACGAGGAAACCATGATACATATATTATGTCAATCACATCTGTTGTATTTTATGTTGTATAAAGGCAATCAATTACATATGCTTGATTTTCATGATGTTGGGACACTCTTGGTGCAACTTCTATTGTTATATTAGGTAAACAGAAAAGCTGAATTTCCATGTTATACATGTTTAATGATTGTAAACATGTGTGAAATTACTACCACACTCTGGTTATGTTTTTGTGGGCAAGTTGGTATGTCCAAAACTACTGAAGGGAATGTGTTGAAACGTCAAACACTTGTTGTCTGTGATAATTTTACATGATGGACACAGGTCCAATAACTAAGAGTTACCTTTTTACAGAGTTATGCCCCCTTTTCTTATCGTCAAGTACTGAAATCAGATTACGTGTTGCCTTAAAGAAATTTTGTTTAATTTATTATTTCTTATTGAAAATAGAATTTTGTGTTTTGAATGTTCTTTATGAATTTTTGTTGTTGTAAACAGAAACTTGTATCTTAGTAATGGTTTTAATTCTCACTCATTGTACTCTGCCATTTTGAGGGCCACGGTAGCTGAGTGTTTAAATATGCTGACAGTGAATCACCTGTCCCTCACATTTTACCCCTCTATATTATGAAGTAGCTAGCTTACTTGGGGATATCTATCACACTTAATGCACACAGCTGGGGCATTGTTTAGCATTGATGCTAGCTTTTGTCTTAAAATTTTGATTTTTTTGTTATGCAAGTTGCGTTAAAAAAACCCCAAAAGAACAGTTTTAAACATATATCAGGCACAGGTTTTTGACAAACTAATTTTGTTCATAGACATTGGAATCTTGAGACAAAAAAAGCAATTACATATCTTTATAGATAGATATAAAAGGTGTCTCATTTATGTCCAGAAAATCTGTTGTAAATTACTAGGTGTCCAGTGAAGACTGTGATAAAAGTATTGATTTATCAGGTCATTTAATTAGATATAGAGGACAAATGATGGGTATTAATCAAGATGGTGACAGAATTTTCTGGATAGAACACAATCAGGTGACACATGTGCCAAAGTGCTCTGTATTTATCGCCCTATGTTAAAGATTTATTGTCAGAGATTGCTCTTTGCATTATTGTCTTGTGACTTGTGTTAAAGATTTTCTCTCTGATGTCTTATTATATCATTCTTTAAAGCAAGATATTTCTGTTTTCTTCAAATTTTTCAATCAACCATAAACTTTGCAGTCAGTCCTTTACCTAAATTTTTTTGCACATAAAAGAAATAAAAAAAAAAAATTGCTGTGAAATTGTTCTGTCTATATTCCATAGAAAAAGGCTAACACTTAAACTTCATATATATCATCACATTATGACCTGGCATGCTAGTATGTAAAATTTAATGTTTATATAGATATGTAAATTACTCACAAATTTTCTAGTTATAAATCTTGCAAGGAAGATGTACAGAAAAGTAATTATGGCTTTTGTAATCAGTCTTTCATATGAATATGCCATGTTGAATATTTAGCATGTAATTAACTTCTGGTGTTTGCATGCAAATGTACCGGTTTATATATTAGAACTTACTGGCATAATCATAATTCCTAGTTGAGAATATCTTGTAAGTTGACTGGGGAAATGACAGAGAATTGTTCAGAAACTAGGAACATTCAGATTTGATTAAGTACCCACAGCTAAATCACTTTACTATTTCTATAAGAGAAGTACAAAACAAACAAATCTTAAGAACATAAGCGTGACATTTACTTTATTAATCTTGTATCATGCAAAGAGACTGATTTCACATTGATAAAACCAATTACTATGATAATGTTGAACTTTGTTTTAGTGATTATTCTGTGGATTAACTTAATAATGTGGTTCCTGTGTATTTTCAGGTAATTATGCAATCACGAGATTACAACGCCCTGACTATGAGTGTTATGGCATTTGTGTCAATGTTGTATCCGTTAGAGTACATGTTTCCTGTGATACCATTGCTGCCAACGTGTATGTCCTCGGCTGAACAGGTGTGTATCTGAACATAATACTGTGACATTGTTGTATAAAGGACAAATGTTTGTCCTGTCTTGAATTTGGAACCATCCATTGTTTGTTGCTAAGGTTTGACAGGTTATATGACCTATTATAAACAGTTGTAAGGTTATATAACACCAAGTATACCAGCAGGCATAGCTAGAGCTGGAAACTTGTTTCCACTTTGTGGGTTCGATTCCCTGGCTGGCCACTTGAATTTACAAATCAGTCTTTCAGATAAGACTCTAAATTTAGGTTCTGTGTATGAGTGCTTTAACCCTTGGCACGCTAAAGAACCAGGAGAAGCTTCTTTGGCATTTTTCTGTATCTTGCACTGTCATACATGTGAACACTCCCACTTTAAGCAGGAGAAACTCTTTTTCTGCAGCTATATTTTCAAAGATTTTTCTTAAAATAAGGGGTATTTTCACAAATTAAAGAAATCTCCCTATTTTTGATGTCAGAATTTCCCTCTTTGTTTAATGCAAATTCTAAAATCTCCCTCTTTTTGAAGAAAAATCTCCCACTTGATCATAAAAAAAAGTTCACTATCCTCCAAAATATAAAATAACTAGTTATCTAAAAGTTTTTATATCTGCTTTACTACAAATACTGTACACATTAGTAAGACAAAAATCCAGCTGTTACTTTTATAGATGTTATTGACCTTACATGGTATTGTTTTCTTAAGATAAAAATCTTGATTGCCCCTGGATATTGCTAAATACTTTCTGTTTTAACATTCTAACTATATATAATTTTCCCTTACAAATATTCAATTTTGATAAGCAGACATGATGTAAATTTAAATAAACTTTCATAGTAAGAGTAAGTGTAGAAGTTTTCTTTATTGTAAGGTTTAGAAATATGAGCATGTTTTGTTGTTTTTTTTGCTCTGAGAAACAAAAAAGATTTTCCTACACTTCTACAACTATCTAAGCTCTAATATAAAATAGGAATATAATTGTCATCGATTTAAAATTGATTTAAATGAGAAAAATGGGGCCAATCACCAAAATGTAAAGTCTAGACAAATTAATTAAAATTAAAGAATTATACACAAAAAGTTAATATTGTATAATTTACAATATTGATATAGAACTTGGGTCGACAATAAATTTAGCTCTGCAGTCAATTTGCTTTTACTTTACCTGACAACGATTGAGTTTTAAATTAACATTAAATTCATTTGATCTCATGCATGCTGTTAACATGGCAACCAGCGTTACAAATTGTCATCGCAAGCTGAAATTGCTGGCGGCAATGACAACGAGAATCATTATACATGTAGTAGTGTTGGAAGAAGGATAATCATTAATCAGCAACTGATTCCATTAAAACATTCACATTCACAGACATGTCTTCTCTGTTTGGAATCCATTAACCTGTGTACACATTTTGTATGTATTGTACCATAGCTTGTCTCTTTAATCCTAAGGTGGTTTCTGGAAAAATATTGGCAAATAAAATCTGTATGTTGCAATAAAACCATAAAATAAGTATTATTTAAATAAGGTCCTCATTGATATTGTTAAAAATGTTAAGAATGAAAAGTTAAAATGAAAAAAGTGGCTAAATTGTAATACATATGTATGTGTATAAGTGTTTTTTTGTTTATGTTAATGATAATAAAGTAGCATGTTTTGTACATGTATATGTTGATTTTACAATTTGAATTCAAATGTCATGCATAAAAGATGATATGCAAGGTACAAATGTAATGTGAATGTAAAGTATAGGCTAGCCTTTCACCTACATAAACCAATATCAACTAGGAAAACTATGTGAAACTTTCAGCAGAAAAGAGCGAAAGAAAACAAAGGAAAAAAAAAGTCATTCTCTTAAAATAATCTGTTTTAATTAAATGGCAGAATGTTTCCATTTCATGTCATTAAATAAGAGGCTGTGTTTGTTATCAATTTGTAAAATGGATAATATTTCATGTTGACATAGAAAAAAATAAAACTTAATGACAATCAAGAAAATTTATTATCATCGCATTACTGTAGTAATTAGATTTTATTTTACAAAGATTCAGAACATTTCAAAATGCATATTTTAAGTGCTGTAAATGGAGCTTACTTGAACAGAATTTTAATTGTTTTGTTATTGAAATGTGGTGAGTCTTATATCTTAATTAGATGTAACAATATTTCAATTGTATTTTATTTCTTGTCTCCAACGGTAATGATGGTGTCAAATTTTCAATTTTTTTGGTGTCATACAAGGAACTATTCATGTTATTATACACATTATAGAAATATTAATGATCACAGAAAAATTATCATTTTATTGACAGTACATTTCATATACATGTACTGAGATATAAGCAGGAGGATAGTTATTTTCTCTACTTCACGATGATTACTTACTTACTTACTATAGCTTATAAGTTCAGTTTTGTAGAAAAAGTTGTCAAAGATCAATTTTTGTGTCCACAAATTAGTACCACTTCTTAGAAATTTGTTAATGTATTATTCTCAACAGTTTTTCTTTGATATGTTTATAGTATCTCGTTTCCTCTCCTCACTTCCATTCAATATATAATGTGTCTTGATTTATCTTTTTTATTTCTTTACTTTTTTTCTTGTTATTTACAGCTACTACTCGCCCCCACCCCATATTTGATTGGAGTTCCTGCCAGTTTTTTCTTGTACAAAAAAGATTTTCAATTACCCGAAGATGTGTGGCTCATAGATCTCGACTCAAACAAGGTAAGTCACAAGGCTGACAATTACAGAAATATGAATCACTCCTATGTCTACATTTATATTCTTCCAATATATGGTTAATAGGACTGGTGTTTGTGGGGGAGTGGTTCTTGCTGCAGGTTATCACACTTGTTCTTTCACTTTTGTGAGTTTAATACCAGATGTGAAGACTCTATCATGCCAGTTTGTACAAGAATTATGACTCTACTAGCATCTATTTCAGTGTATTTACTGTTTAGTTTGTCCCACAAAAAAATATAAAGTTCATCATTTATTTGCTCAGTCACATGCTAGGAAAAGAAATAGATATAATGTGTATTTGAATTTTGTATGTTCAGTTACATCACTTTTGAATGAAAGCAGTAACTGTTATATTGTCACCTTAGGATTGAAAGTTCTGTGCCTAAATAGTTTTTGTTTATTCTATTTTTAACTACAGAGTGAAAGAAATACAAAACTCTCAAATGAATTAAGAACCTAGATCAATAGCATTCAGCCAACAAAAAGGCTAGGCTCTCTGATAATGCAAATTATGCGAAATAGGAAAGCAAGGAAAGAATTAAGTTAAGAAAGTAGAAATATTGAATCAGAATTCTCCTCTTTTCGCCCATAAGGGAAATTGCTTCATTTACAGCAGTTAGAGGATTTCTAGACACCAGAAAGAAATGAATAATGTGGGCGGATAAGGTGGCGTGTCTTTCATAGATAAAAGTACAGAATTTTGCTGTAGAATTTTTAAGTGCTGTACAAATCAATACATAAAGTCACCTATTATTTTTGTCACTAATTTGAATATTATCGTCAGAATTTAGATCCTATACTCTAATAGCCTTTAGCTTGTTGACTGGACCAGGTGATTAAAGTAATAGTTCTGAATTGAGTTCAGTGATGTCAGTACCAAAGCTGTAGTACTAAGCAGTCAAATGTTATGTTAGATTTTCTTGGTCATACATATCAATTTTATAGCCAAGCTATAAAGCTATATTATACATGTTGTATGATAACTTTATAGGTCCCTAAATCAGTTATGAATTATTGGAATGAATCAAATAAAAAAAAGGTGAAATTGTATAATTATTATGGAAAACAATTTACAACCCCATTTCAACAACCTGGATACGTCATATGATTTAATAAAATGTCCTCTATAATTGTTTGTTGTCTTACACAAATGTCTGTTATTTATGGATTTAGTCTTGTGCTACAAACTGATGTTTGTAAATGAATCAATATTTTATAATTAATTGTTGTTACATTATTTAGAATCAATTAAGAACATGTTAATCAAACAAATCAATAGTTTAATCCCTGAACTGTTACATTGTTGGAACAGATTATTTCAGAGCTTTTCCTACAAACATAGAGATATGCCTGAAGTTCTATTGTACAGTCTGACCTGTGACTCTTGTTTGTTGACTGACCAGCTTCAAAACTTTCATTGTGATGTCCCAAAGATTTAGTATGTAATTGAAGTTAAACAAGTCCTTGCAGGAGAATTTAATGCTTTACTTAAAGCAGCACACCTCCAGATCTATGTTTATTTTTTTTAATTAAAAAAAGAAATTCAAATGTGATACTACCCTTGAAAATCAACAAATAAACTTCTTATAACATTATTTCATAAGTGGATTTAAGATAACCCTTCCATAAGCTTAGGTGGATAGCTTCCTTAAAGACAAAAAAATAGCCCTCAAAGACAAGGGAAAAAGGAAAATCATCTTGAATGTCAATTGTAAACATGTGATTGCTTGATATTACAGCTTTGATACTGACATCACTGGAAATTACAATATGGAAATTCAAACTCAATTCAGAAATAAATTTAATAGATTCAATCTGGCTGTAGTGAATCTCTGGAGTGTGAGTTGACTACTTTATATATTTAGCACACACATTTTTCTTGTTTTAAGCTGCTAACCTATCATTGAGTGATGAATTCCTTGCAACCTCTCCATCATAAACTTGCAGAATATTTAATTTGCATTCAAGATGATTTTTCTTTCTTGCCTTGTCTGTGATGGGCATTTTCTTGTCTTTCATGCTATTTTTAGAAGAAAAATAGATAAAAAGTGGCAGATGTGGTTTTCTTTAAAAGCATTTTTGATTTCAAATGATTATAATTGAACACATTATTTGACTGTTAAGGAAAGCAATTACTTTAATGGCTTCTTTGGATGTCTTAAAATAGATCAGTTCATCTGAATGTCTTCACCATTCTCTTAATGTTTACATGTAATTTAAATGCATTACTTTAAAAATCTAATTTTAGAATAATTGTAATTTGGGTGACATGTGTATTTCAAATTACATTTACTTGTATTTTGCAGGTTTTAGCGTAATTGCACAGAATTGTGCTAACATTAAAGTGCTATTTTATCATTGTTATGGGAAAAATTGTTATTTTGTACCTATTGCAGTTTGTGGGGTAGTTAATGTATGACAAGGATTAGTTTGTTGAGACAATTGATTGAGGGGTAGTTAGTGTATAACATGGATTTGTTTGATGAGACATGATTGAGTTAGTAAGTGGTAGTTAATGTATGACAAGGATTAGATGGTTGAGACATGATTAAGTGGTAGTTAAAGGTTTACAAGGATTTGTTTGTTGATACATGACTAAGGGGTAGTTAATATATTACATGGATTTGTTTGTTGAGACATGACTAAGGGGTAGTTAATATATTACATGGATTTGTTTGTTGAGACATGACTAAGGGGTAGTTAATATATTACATGGATTTGTTTGTTGATACATGACTAAGGGGTAGTTAATATATTACAAAGATTTGTTTGTTGATACATGACTAAGGGGTAGTTAATATATTACAAAGATTTGTTTGTTGATACATGACTAAGGGGTAGTTAATATATTACAAAGATTTGTTTGTTGAGACATGACTAAGGGGTAGTTAATATATTACAAAGATTTGTTTGTTGATACATGACTAAGGGGTAGTTAATATATTACATGGATTTGTTTGTTGAGACATGATTGAGGGGTAGTTAATATATTACATAGATTTGTTTGTTGATACATGACTAAGGGGTAGTTAATATATTACATGGATTTGTTTGTTGAGACATGACTAAGGGGTAGTTAATATATTACATGGATTTGTTTGTTTGATACATGACTAAGGGGTAGTTAATATACATGCGATTTGTTTGTTGAGACATGACTAGGGGTAGTTAATTATTACAATGGATGTTTTGTTGATACATGACTAAGGGGTAGTTAATATTATGTTACATGGATTTGTTTGTTTGATACATTGACTAAGGGGTAGTTATATTACATTGGATTGTTGTAGTTGAGAACATGACTAAGGGGTAGTTAATATATTACATAGATTTGTTTGTGAGACATGACTAAGGGGTGAATTATATTACATGGATTTGTTTGTTGAGACATGACTAAGGGGTAGTTAATATATTACATGTTTTGTTTGTTGAGAACATGGGACTATAGATTAATATATTACATGGATTTGTTTGTTGAAGACATGACTAAGGGGTAGTTAATATATTACATGAAGATTTGTTTGTTGAGACATGACTAAGGGGTAGTTAATATATTACATATTTGTTTGTTTGATACATGACTAAAGGGTAAGTTAATAATAGTTACATGGATTTGTTTGTTGAGACATGACTTAAGGGGTATAGTTAATATATTACATGGATTTGTTTGTTGAGACATGACTAAGGGGTAGTTAATAATATTACATGGATTTTGTTTGTTTGAGACATGACTTAAGGGGTAGTTAATATATATTACATGGATTTGTTTGTTGAGACATGACTAAGGGGTAGTTAATATATTACATGGATTTGTTTGTTGATACATGACTAAGGGTAGTTAATATATTACATGGATTTGTTTGTTGAGACATGACTAAGGGGTAGTTAAATATATTACATAGATTTGTTTGTTGATACATGACTAAGGGGTAGTTAATATATTACATGGATTTGTTTGTTGAGACATGACTAAGGGGTAGTTAAGTATATTTACATGGATTTGTTTGTTGAGACATGACTAAGGGGTAGTTAATATATTACATGGATTTGTTTGTTGAGACATGACTAAGGGTAGTTAATATATTACAAAGATTTGTTTGTTGATACATGACTAAGGGGTAGTTAATATATTACAAAGATTTGTTTGTTGAGACATGACTAAGGGGTAGTTAATATATTACAAAGATTTGTTTGTTGATACATGACTAAGGGGTAGTTAATATATAACATGGATTGTTTGTTGAGACATGACTAAGGGTAGTTAAAGTTTTACAAGGATTTGTTTGTTGGGACATGATTGAGTGGTAGTTAAAGTTTTACAAGGATTTGTTTGTTGAGACATGATTGAGTGGTAGTTAATGTTTTACAAGGATTTGTTTGTTGAGACATGATTGAGTGGTAGTTAATGTTTTACAAGGATTTGTTTGTTGAGACATGACTAAGGGGTAGTTAATATATTAACATGGATTTGTTTGTTGAGACATGACTAAGGGGTAGTTAATATATTACATGGATTTGTTTGTTGAGACATGATTGAGGGGTAGTTTAATATATTACATAGATTTGTTTTGTTGATACATGACTAAGGGGTAGTTAATATATTACATGGATTTGTTTGTTGAGACATGACTAAGGGGTAGTTAATATATTACATGGATTTGTTTGTTGAGACATGATTGAGGGGTAGCTAATATATTACATAGATTTGTTTGTTGATACATGACTAAGGGGTAGTTAATATATTACAAAGATTCATTTGTTGAGACATGATTTAGTGAGTGAGTGAGTGGTAGTTAAAGGTTTACAAGGATTTGTTTGTTGATACCTGACTAAGGGGGAGTTAATATTACATAGATTTGTTTGTTGAGACATGTTGGAGATTACAAGGATTTGTGTGTTGAGACATGCTTGAGTGGTAGTTAAAAGTTTTACTAGGATTCGTTTGTTAAGACATGATGGAGTGGTTGTTAATGTATAAAAGT